AATAGCTAAAACCTCTAATTTAATAGGTATGCCAATACAAATTTTGAATTTTAATCTCTTTTAATCAAATGTCTTTGAATCAAAACATCTTCTTATGAAGAAAGCATATGCTTTTCTTTATATTTTTTCCATAATCAGAAAACTTAAAAAAAAAATAGAAAAAAAAATGGACTCAAACTATTATACTTTTTGTGTTTGAGGCGTTTTTATTGTTTTCTGAAAAATTCAAAACCACTGAAAAAAATCCTCATCAGCTCCATATCTGCGAAGACTAAAGAATGCAATGTGTGATTGCTCCTATAACGGATATTATTTTATTCTCTGAAAGGGAAGTAAGCTAACTTTGCAGAAAAGATACAATCTGGTTGCTGGTATAATTAGGCTGTATATTTGGTTCCAGAGATGCACATTCTGTGTGTTTTCAAGCAAGACACTCAAACCCAGAGCTGCCAAGAAGGTTAGCTGCTGCTACAATGAACACTGTGAAACCGAAGAGTCTGCACACGGCATCCGCAGTGTCCGAAGGACAGAAGAGATGGGTGGATTGTCATGGGGGTGACACTGAATCTAATGCAGTTAACAAGAAATATAGCAGAGAGTAGTGTGCTTCAAGCCTGTCCTACTGCAAGACAAGATCTTTGTTTCTCTCCTAAGTTTTTTTTTTTCCTTTCATTTTATGGACATTATTTAATATTTGCAAATGAAATCTTTGCATTAAATCATCAGGCAAAGAGTTAATTCAAGTTTCTGTAATTGACAGTTTTTACTTGTACTGTCTGATATGAAAGGCATTGTAGCTGTGATAGCACGCAGTTTAAAATGAAGTAAAAACATTTTATTTTCCTTGAGAAACTTATAACTTGAGCTGGAAAAATACAGGTATTCTCATAACTTTCATGACAAAAAAAATGAAATTACTTTGATTATTTTTAAAGGCTTCTTCCATTCTAAAAGTTTTTCTCATCTCTATCCCTCAAAGATTTTAGTGAGGTTAAATATAGTTATTATATTAGACCTTAATTGCTTTTTCATCAATGGAAGTTCAGCAGATAGAAAGAGAAATCAACATCTTGTTGCTGGCATCTTGTTGCCAGCAGCTTGTTGCAAGCTGCATTGCAGCCATTTGGCGTTACACAGTCAGCAATGCTATACCAGTATGTCATTATCAGCTCTGCTGGATTTATTATCTGGGTAAATATAATAGTATCTGGACTCTGGGGAATGAATATGATAAAAGGGTTTATAAAAATATGAGAGATAATAGTACATAACAATAAGGTGTTCTATAAAAATCAAGAAAGTTTTTAAAGCTGTTCTCCTGCAAGTCCTTTTTGTCAGACCTGAGAAAGCTGTAGGATAGCCAGAGCATCAGCCCACTGCACTGCACTGATTCTAGAAAGTACTTTTTCACATTTTGTGCAAAGGTGCAAAAAGAATGATACACACTATGACTACAAAATATAATATTAGGTATCTGCTGCTCATAATGCAAATGCAAAACCAAACATACAACTGTATCACTAAAATACAAAAAAAAAAAAAAACCAACAAAAAAAAAACCACAAAACACCCCACCAAAAAAAACCCAAAACAAAAAAAAACAAAAAAAAAAAACCGTGGCAGCAGGACACTGTAGCTACAAAAGTTACAAAAGTTCACAGTGTCAAACAAGGTTTGACAAGGTCAAACCAGTTACTTTCCATGATTGCAACTAAGCAAAGATTAATGATCAAAGAGGTAGCATCCACACATTTCAAGTGGGGCATAGATAAAACTGTTTGCATTTTGAAGATAATGGGAAGTGCAAGAATGAATAAAATATTTTGTCCTTTATGACAGTGTGTACGTAGCCTGGGATCTTTCACTTGAGGATAACACTGATATCCCTGTCTTAAGAGCTTACTGGTTTTTGCTGCTTGCTTTGTATTCTGCCTATCTTGATATCACAACTTCACAGGCGATAATGAAATGGCACCACTTCTCTCAAGGACACTTAGTTTGAATATTATCAACAATTGCACAAAATTAAGTTAAAGCATAAACCAATAACCCCTCCATTTGAGGTCCAAGCAATACTATCAGAATGCAGAACATAAAATGAAAGGCAACCAAAGCTGTTGAAGGTGCTATGGTGATGCCGTAGTTTATCCCCCTACTAATTTGGGTTCAATGAGGATATTATAGGTGCTATCAAGAGTAGAGAGGACAATATGTTTTCCCCTTTTAGAGGCTGCAAGGCTTGAACGACACACTTCTTAACTCAATAGCCTTGAAATTAATCCAGGATTATTCAACTGCATGAGAATTGTTAGAAGGCTGGAAACAACATACCGCGCTCTGCCTTTTTATTGTAACCTTCCTTATAGTATCATCTTGCAGTGAAACCTGAATATCCTAATGGGATTAAACATAAAAGAAAGTCAGGCAAAAAAAGTTGCTGGATTAGAATTTTAACTGAAGCCTTCTGTGAGAAAGACCACACCACTGTCAGTGACCTTTCTCTCCCCATGTGTGATCCCAGTTGTGCCTAGTCAAGTGTCCAAAGGAGACTCCATCAGTTCACACTGTATTTATCCTTTTGCTCCTAAAACAGGTGTCTTGTTACTAAGAGAACAACCATTTGTGCCATTGATGAGGGTGTATAAACCCACCCTGCAAGAGCGCATAATGTACTCTGGTATGAAAAGCAGAATGCAATCATGCTATTCAAGACCTGAGTTCTGTATTGATAAAAACCATCACTCTAAGCAAAAGTTAATAAATTCTGTTCTAGCAAATAGGCAAAAGAAAAAAAAGATGCAGGCTTTTGAGTGTTTTAGAATGCCATTTTTATCTCCAGCTCTAGTTTTCATTTGTTTTTGAAATACACTCTCTGATAAGTTTGCCTTTAACATATCTAAAAAAAATGTTGGTTTAGAGTCTCATACTGTATCTTCACAGCCCTCATTAGATACCACAAGAATGCTTTTCATCTCTTTTTTACTCTAAACTCCTGACATCCTCCCTAGCTCTGAACAATCATGTTAATTAGACAGCAGTTATTCACAGATGAGCAGAAAACGAAGCTCAATCAAAAGAACTTCTAAAACATTTTTTGTTTTTATCATTCTAGATCTCTTTGCCTTCACAGCGCTTCAAAGATTCATACTCGGTCTCATAAATGTTATCATAAAACATTAACAGTGTAAACTCTAGTGTGGGAGGATGTGTATGAGGTTGAATTCCTGTTCCTACATCCAGATACATGTCCTAAATTAGGCGACAAGAGGAGCTTTCCTCACATCTTCCCAGCCAGTGTGTTTTCCTGGTAGTATAACACCAGCTCAACTTGTTGCTGCTCTCCTTTTCATGCTAATTCACACCTAACGTGTCAGGCTAATTGCTATATTCCTGATCTTAGGTATTTTATGCTTTTATTCTTGTTTGTATTACTGTAGCAACTACTAGATCTAGTGCTGAGACAGTACAACGAGAAAGAAGATGGTCCTTGACCTTTTGAGCTTGTAAGATAAGTGTAAGAGACGAGACAGCAAACAGATAGAGTGCCAGACAGCACCATAATCAGGTATTCAGATCAGCAGTCAGTAGGCTATGACTACTACACACATTTTCTCTGACAGTTCTGATTTGCAGATTGAGACAATTATTGTCAACATACAATTTGCTATCAACATTTATAATCTCTTTGGCTCCTGTTGTAAGTCCCAGTGCTTATTTCTCCACAATAAAAAAAAAAATCCCTCTTGATCTGTTCCATCATGTAAAATGCTCTGCCTTCTCCCACTCTGGCCTCCCAACCTCTTCTGCAGTATATAGAAAGGAACTAGAGAAGAGCAATAAGTTTTATGAAAAGGATATATCGATATATAAAGATCTTCATAAAGAAGATAAATAAAGATAGGATTAGACATTTGACATGAACACAGATGACAGCTTCAACTCTATGGTTTTGAAAATGCTGCTTTCTGGTTGCAGAATTAATTGGAATGAAACATATTCCTCCTGGAGCCTGTAATATTTAGAACAAACTCACAAAACCTTTTAATCTGTCTAAAAGCCCACAGACAAAAGCACTGCCCTTGCTTATAATTTGCCATATCGCTTCTCTCTTTGAATTCCCTGGCTTATCTTTGCCAACCATATCAAGTACCAACTTTTAGCCCTTAAAATTCAGAATCCAAACAGCTCTGCTCCTGCTTGCATCCCAGGTTTTCTATCTTAGAAAAAGTATCTTTATCATCATAGTTTCACTAACTGAAAGCTTCACTGCTCCTTTTTTTTCGTGGTCTTACTTCAAATTTTGTGTCTAATTCAGTCAGAGGCCCCTCTTGGCCCAATATTTCCTCCTAAACCCTATGAGACAGTCTGTCATCCTTTTTTCATTTGAGACATTCACTACTTCCTAAGGATTTTATTTGTTGGGCATAATGTATTTGCATCCCTAAACTTACATGTGGATAAATGTGATCTAAGCGACAATCATCCCTTCCTTTGAAATCATCACTGCTTTTTTTCCTTTGTGTTTGTTGGTCTTCTGGTATAAACATTTTTCATTCATAACATATCTAGCAGCATTTGTCTTAAACAGTGATAAATATACCACCATCATAAATATCTTTCCTGGTAAAAGAATTTCCATGGTTCCAACGTCATAGGTACTTACAAAACCCACAGTCTGCTCACTGCATGGTACTGAGGGACTGTTTTCTCACAAGCAAACAGTTCTCTGAACGGTAAGGTTTTGGCTGATCAAAGTAAGGATTAATTAACCTGGATTGCATAGTAACAGTAACAGTAACAGGTACTTATGCTGGTCTTACTTTTTATAGCCATAAAGTTGTGTAAATGTTGTATTTCATACAATTATAGCATTTAGAACTCAGATTCTAATCTCAGCAAAACTGACTCTACCCCATGTATCCTAATTTATACCCCTGTATGAAGAGAAAACAGTTAGATTCACTATTAGTTTGTATAGCAAAAGAAAATAGAGACAATACCTGCACAAACCCACACACCATATAGTCATCAAACAAAGGCAGACTAGGGCGGTCCTCTCGATAAATTGTGATTTTGTAGCTGCTCACAACTTCAGGTTTGGGTTGTGAATCATCTGTTACGAGAATGATGACTTTGTTTAATCCAAGGCCGAGGGGGTAGTTAGCAATGCTGCAAGGCAAAACAGGAAAGAAGTGGAACAAACACTGAAAAGACAAAGATTTACACTGCTTTGCCTACGGCAGCTACATTTTACTTCCTCCTTGAAGCTTCTATTTCTAACATTTTCTTTCTCTGATGAAATACATATGATTTTAAATAAAAAACAGTGTAGAATAAGATTTGTAAAAACAGTTTACAGTTCTTTCAGGAAGACAAAATACTGACAGCGAAAATTCGTGAAAACAGCTTCAGTGGCAGTGGCAACAATTCTGACACGAAATCTGTGAATGAGGCCACTAGGCACAATAATTCCTGGCAGGTCCAAGTTCATGGTGGAGTCAGCAGGGAGACAAGCAACATCAGAGGTGTCAGCTAGCTGTTGAACTTGTCCACTAGCCAAACGTGATGGAGTCCCAGACAAAGTGCCCAGAGTGATAGACAAGAGCAAAGCTGGACTGTGCTCTTCTTCCCTTGGCAGGGAGATGAGAAATTCTGAGATACACAGAACATGTCCATCCAGGGCTTTTATTTCTCAGTGTAAAGGACATGTAGCTGTTCTGTTTTCCTTTTACAAGGAAGAAATATCTTACATTTTTCACATGTATCTCTGTTGACTTCCAAGGCAATTAACAAGAAAACACTGAGAAACTGGGTGGAAGATTTTTATGACAGCTTCTTTTGAAATGATAAATCAAGACTAATTTCTTACTGAAAATACAGGAAACATATTAGGCACTAGCTCAGTAACAACTTTACAGAGTTGCTATAAGCAGCCATTCTAGGTCCAAGCATCTGCTTCACAGTCAGTCGAAAGATTGCGTGTTGCTTAGGCACTACATGCCACGAAGCAAAGCTAGCTCTGTAATGGATAAGGATGCTACATCCCAAGCGAATCATTGTCCCTGCCCTCACCTTTAAACATCCAGTGGTCAGCAAGGAAATCTTCTATACACTTACTGGTGGCTACTAAGTAAATAGGTCAGTTCTCGGTTCTGAGGTACCTGACCTAGATAAATAAAGATGTTGTGTCTCTCCCAACATCCAAAACCAGGTCATGCCCAAAATGCCTATCGGGAACAGTCTCTGGCACATGCTGCTGCCTGTGAGAAAGCTGGTTGGGAAAGCCAAAATTGTGCCAGGTATCATAGTAGCAATTAAACATCATGAATGATTGTGGATCAGTGCTCAAACCTGATGTTTACTGATGACTTTGCTCTCTCCCCTATTCTCCAGTTTTATACTTCTCTAAAAGATCCGATAAGCTTGGACTCTTGCTGATGACAAGCCCTTATAACATAATTCTGATGAAAACGGATCATTCTGAATGAGTAAACTTGAACTTATTTCTTCTCTTGGTCCCAGCTGTCCTACTCTGACCCATGCAAGCAGATCACTGGCTGAGGGATCAAGTCCAGTGGGACAGTAGCTTAGGTCACAGTGCAAAATCAAGGCCTGGATACGAAAGCTCAAATTCATTGCTGCCCTACTATGTGCAGTGTAATGATGGTCTATTCCCACCCAGCTTTGATGCTGTGAATGACTGGGGAAGCTGGGGGAAATGCTAGCAACTGTGCACTCTGTAAAGCTCGAGTTAATTATGGCTTGACAACCGTTACCATTACCTTCAGGACATTGATAAATAAATAAATATTTCTGAATGTTGAACTCTTCCTGACTTTCCTGTGACTAATCTATAGGCATTCTCTGCTTTTGGGAACACAAATCAATTCTGTAATATTCTGACATATTTCCAAATTTAAGAACACTTTTTTTTCTCACACTCATATTTCGTTGCTCATACCTTGGTCCTTTCTTCTCATCAAGGTGTACCTGGCATTGACAGTTAGAGGGTTCTGCTCCTATCTTCACAGTCACCATGTCGAATGGGACTTCTGCGTAGTACTCCTTGATCTTTGGGTTAAACTGAGGATTCAAATCCAGCTGTGGACTGGTGAAGATCTGCCTGATATGAGATAGGGTATCTTTATCTGTTCCAAGAAGGCATCAAAGAAAAAACTGTGAAATGTATGAACATTTTTAAGTCACATGCAACTTCTGGCAGATTGATAACATGTACAGTGGCAAGATTTTTAATGCCTAGTCACTCTGAGACTGATAATCCTGCTGCAAAGTCTTAGTGGAGTATATATGGGCACTTGAGAGAAATTTGCAGACCCTACAGGGATTTTAATCATTCAGTGCCCAATGTCTCTAGTCAATCATAAAACTCAAAGTCTGAGTAAGTCTTTGAAAATGCAAGGATTAGATATGGGAGATCCTGTCTCCAGTTGGTTAACTGAAACTTAAAGAAGAGTAAGGCCAAAATTCATAACCTACTTAGGTACCAGCCTGTGTACAGGGTTTATGTACATGTGTAATTGCCAATAAAAATCAAAGTTAGACATACTTTTACTGTTCATAAGAACAAGTCACATGGAGTTATCTAGACCCATGGGGTCATTTGTAGTACAAATGGAAGAACAATGTATTAAAATTCCTAAATCAACAAATTCCAGCTCCTTCCCTGTGTATGAAATCTCCACAATCAAATCCTATTTGTTCAAATGTATCCTTTATTTTGTAGTTTTTGCCAAATGACTCATGAGAATAATTATTTGCTGGCAACACACTTATGACAAATATTTTAATCCAACCTATTGGATTCAGATTTACAGTATAGTTACACATTCAAAACTTCCTTTCCACATATGTTCTCTAGTATGTGTTTAAAACTGGGTACTTCAGAAAATACAGCAGCCAGGAAACTCTTTTACTATAATATCTGAAATATCTTCTGGCTTAAAACATGGCTTGAAAGGGTCATAAAGGATCCAAGCATTTCTATGTGGGCTTTTTCTACTTCAAAATATCTACTCTGAGAAACAAAACAAGGCAATCTCAGCACTCTTTTGCATGGATTAAAATGTAAAGAAAGTTATTTCAGTGGAAGAGCAGAATTTGGGCTAGATTTGTAGGAGAATAGAAGCTTATAAATTGACACATAGAAATTATTTTTAAAAATCCTACAGATGAGTATAAACAGTTCTCCAAATCCTATACGCCTTACTAAGAAAGGTTATTGCACTACTAGCTTAAAAATGAGGAGGAATTTTCAAAACAAAATTAATTGAGGTATTTTCGAAATAAAATAGCATGCCATTGGAACGGTGACTCCAGTCAACCAGCCCAGGAGAATTTCTGGCCTCTGACTGACACAGAGGAGTTCCTGGAGGCACCATGAGATCAGTAACAGAGGGAAAATGAAGCTCAATGGGTAGAAAAGTCTTTCCACCATAGAGCAATCGTTTCACGTTTATAAAGCGACCCCTTGGGCAATGTGTCATGAGAAAGGCAGCAGAAAGCATTGCTCCCACCAAAGACAAATATACTTTAAATCTCTATCTATCTTTAAATATAGTTTAAATATTCCTAAAAACAGATACTTTAGAAAAAGTCTTTATCTCTTAAGCAGCTCTTTAAAACTCCATCATTGAGCTGAAGACTGGCCTTATACATGCTGATTAAACTCCATACAAGCTTAACAATTATTGCACAAGAAGAAATATGTGCTGAAATTCTTAGAAATAAAGGGCAAAAGTCTACTGAAGTGTGGCAAGAGATCAATGAGTGCTGGAATACTCACATTAATATGCATATGTAGCAATGCTTAACTTTGTGCTTGAGGCTTATTTAACATAATAGCCCAATTATTGAGTGATTCATAAACATTCTTGCTACTTAAAAATCCTTTTTTTTTTTACATAACAGCCTGCAGGCACTCCATTCACTGAAAGGTTGAGCAGAAAAACCCAAGAAATTTATTCAAGTAATCTCTCTTCTTCTCCCTTAATGGTCTAGAAAGACCTTGACTTACCATAACTGCATTGTCTTTCTTTAGTCTTACTGGAATAAGGCAATGCTGAAAGATAAACAGAGACAATTAATTTTCTACTCTAAGCCTGATTCACAATCATATAGGAGAAGGAACTCTCATTGTGTTATTTATAAAAAATATAGTGTACTTTTTTTCTTTTCAGTGTGAGATCTTTGCTTTAGGTTCATAAACACTGCTCGTGGGCTTGGCAGAACAACTTACACAGATAAGGGAGAAATTGGTCTTCTATATGCAGTAAGCCAAGACCTTCCGTGGTCTTGGAATGCAAGACAATGTAATTTAAATCATACATGTTATTAGAAGTAGTACCAATAGGAAAGAAATACTGTGTACAAAAGGTCTTACTCCAATACCTTACCTTCACGATCCTTCCTGTAGTCAGAAGGAACGTTCTGTTTAGGACTCACATTTTCTTGAGAAGAATTCCTGTCAATTCAATAGCAGACATATTTCTACATTAATGGATGGAACAGAATCCATGGAACATTTTTCAAAAATTTCTATATGGCAACCCACGGCACATGGTATTTTAATATTCTCCACAGGAAGATGAACCTTCTGAATGAACATGACAGAAAGCACACATTTCATAACAAACAGCAGCATATAAGACGACAAAAAAAAAAGAAAATCAGAAATAAATTTCAAAATACAGTAGAATCACTGGGAAAAGGAATAATGGATATAGCCAAGAATAAAATAACCCTGACCATACCTTAACTGTTTGTATGCTGTTTTTCTATATATATTTGAGGTTAAAGCTAGACTTTGCTCAAAAAGATTTAAATATAAATGAAGGCCTGGGTCATGGTGATTATCTGTGCTGAGGTTAGCACGAATCTATATAAAAGAATCTAAGTGTTTTGATTTGTTGCTAACTCAAAACAAATCTCATGATCAACATACAGAATATACATATAAGTCCTCAGTGAAAAAAAAACCAAACAAGTGAATTGCAACAATTCATTAACATGGTAGTGGTGCCCATATTGCTAATTCTGTGATGCAGCATTTTGGGAGTACAGAAGAAAGGCAGTAGACTTTCCAATCTATGTACTGGACCTCTGACTCTCTGACTGATAAGACCTTTTCAGAGGTCCATTAATGTTTCCTGAAGCTTTCACATGTTTTCCTCCCAGTGTTTTCCATCAAAGTCCTCATAAAGCAGCTTCTTCCCAGATACTGCTGCCCATTCAGTTTGGATTTTGAAAGACACAAAGTCATTATCTGTGCCAAAGAAGGGAGGTGACCATATTGTTCTGTGCAATCAGTCATCACTAATATTTCAACAGGAGCTGCTGAAAGCAATACTGAAGTCAATCGTGGTAAAAGGTAAACTGTCCAATAAGAAAATAAAGATTTCTGCATTATCTCACTAAGATAAGGAAAGAAGCAGCTGGCAGATCTGTGTCTGTGGGTGCATGAACATGTAGTTTTGAGCTTTCAGTGTCTAGACACTGCCCTAATTTCATGCACATTCATGACCTCCTTCAAAGCAGGCACTTAAACTATTAGAGAGTTTGTTTTCCAAGTTATAAGACATTTTGCTCCCCTCTTTTGGCTTGCCAAGGAGGTAATGGCTAACACCTGTCAAAAACGTTTTTTCCCTCTGACGTTTCTTTTTGCATTGCCCAGTCCCAAATCCTATTGTAAGGTGAAAACAAGATGTCTTAACTCTATAAAATGCCAAACTTTTGTCTAGCCAGAGGACACCTGGGGAGTGTGGCAGCCACCACCAGTGCAAGGCTCCAGCTCCCAAAGGAACTACATGACTTGCATGTGTCAATTCTGTGAAGAGACTGTGATTATCATCAGACAACACTGAGACATACAGTAACTCTATCTAATAACAGCAGGGTATCAAAATGTGGTATTTAGAAATTATATTGCAGAAAGATACTCAGATTACTGTATTTATCCCTGCTGAATACTGGACTTTTTAATCATCAGCACCACCAAGTTTTCCTTTGTCCAAGCTCCCTGCAGCCGGCAGGACTGGGGAACGATGCAGTTATGAAGCATTTCCTCAGGCAGAGAGCAGCTGAGATCCTGGACTCTGCAGAGCCCTTTCTTTCACAAACTGTTACTCAAGAAGGGACCTTCATCTGTATGAGCAGCCCCTTATTTACTTATAGCAACCTGGTGTAGTGGAGGGTGTCCCTGCCCATGGCAGGGGGGTTGGAACTAGATAATCTTTGAGCTGTCTTCCAACCCAAACCATTCTATGATTCTATGATTTTGGAGGAGCTATCAAGCACAGACCTGTGCATTGATTACACATTTTGCAATTAGTGCTAATGAAACTAATGACTGTATGTCAGGTACCCTAGGTGAGTGCACGCTTGCACAAGCACCTTTTGAGAGATCCCCACTGTGTACATCACAAACTATCGACAGTGAACCTGTCCTTTAGGAATCTCTCTGATTCAGCAAATGAAAAAGTGAAAGTATTGACAGCAGCAATAGTAATGTAGCTCTGATGGTCTAAGCAATCAGAGACATAAACAATGAACGATGCATAGAAATAGATAATATCTTTCATAAGATTAAAACATAAAAAGGAAAAAATCTATTCACTTTTGGGGCCTCTGATGGATGTGTTAGTTGTGGATGGTGCAGTTTTTAATGGGTCGTAAAGTCAGTGTTGAGACCATATTTCAGCATTCAGTAGAGTTATGAATTTCATTTCTTTAGGTGATGCTTTGTAGGTCTCTCTTGAAAATGAAGAACCACCAGAGGTAATTTTGTGAAACATGATCACTAGCAATTCTTCACTGTTTGATTAACTGGCAGTGTGAGTGCTCTGTTTTGTAGAGTGCTTGGCTTCAGTCACAGAGTTTCCATGAAAGCATTTGGTTCACTGAATGAAGTATCTTGTGCTGATCTTCAAAAGAGAAATACAAAATTGCACACTTAAGAGTGGGATTGGTTTCCTGGCACTTAATCCCAGCTGTCTCTCTCCTTCCCTCCTTCTCTCTGCCTCTCATTCTCCCCATTGCAGATCAGTGATCTTATCCCAGAGTTCCTTGCTATTGTCTTCTTCTGCTTCATCACCTAAACCATGTTTGTTTCTCTAACTGCCCAGGTGATGAGCATGACCAAGTTAAACTCCAAGAAATTATTTTCAACCCAAATTCAGTTTAAGGGTTGCTGCTTCTATTCTGACCTAACAGAGGGCTTGCATATGGGAAATTAGTAACACTTTTCCAAATAGATCAGTTGATTTCATAAAAGCAGTACAGTAAAGATATACGTCTTAGTCATATCACCAGTTGAAACTGCATAGAGTTGAAAAACAGTGCACAAACAATGCAGAAAATTTATTTCAGTGCACATGTTAGGTAGTACCACTACGACACTTTCAAATAACTTTGTCATCTCTTAATATGAGTACATCTGAGATGGTCATTCTCACCTAGACTGTAACCATTTCATTATAGTTTGAGATGAGTTTCTAGAGTTCTTCTTGCTTCTCCTGTGGAAGGAATTCAGAGAGTTCACTAATACCATTTAAGGTTTCAATACTAGCCATGCAGATGAAATGGGTTAAGAAAAGTACACCAGGAAACTTCTTTAAATCTTGTCTCCATTCTATGTATGGATTCATGATCAGTGAACAGTGTAACTGTACACACTTAAGTCAGAAGTCATTATTTTTCTGATAAGTGTCCATGCTTGTCTGGTTGGACAGTCAGCTATGCAAATATGAGATGAAAATACCAATTTTGCGTAGTCAGAGAAATAAGAACTGTTGAACAAATCAACCAAACAACCTGGCCTTAACTGAAAAAATTCAGGAGAAATGTTCTGATACACAAACTCATCAACACTGGGAATCTCAAAAAAGATTAATCAAAGCTCAAAGAAAATGCATACCTGAGTTATTTGGGGAGTAAACTCTGCTAAGCTCTTTCTTCCTTGCAATTAAGTATAATTACATGCATATCTGACACATGCATCACCATCACATGCATGTAGCTATAGGAGTGGAAGATTATGATTTAGCAATGTCAAAACACATGGGTTTTTATACAGTGAATGATCAGATTGGCATTATTACCTTAGCCATTGCAGAAAAATACAGTGCAAAGAAGCAGATTGGCCTATGCTCTGGAGAAAGGTCATGGGACTTCTACATATTTGTACACATACAATAATGTTCAGCTTGAAGAAAAAAAAAGAGGCCAAGGGGCTTGCTCAAAATGAGTGAGCGGCTCAGCTTAGATTAGAACAGAAAGCTGCTCAAGGGTGGTATGCTTTGATATGCAAACCTAAATATTTTGGCAAAAGGGCAAGGGCTTACACATGAATGCAAGCAGCTGCATCTTTGAGTTAGTTTTCATGGAGTGGCTGGTAGTAACAACAATAACACTTAGCACATTCACGGAACTATGTATTTTCAAAACACTTATGAACAGTTACCTAGCATGGGAGTAAAGTATAAGCTTCACTTTGTAGCCAAGCAAACAAAGATACTGATGACTATTGGCTTGCTGAAAGCCATGTCCAATTCAATGAGGAACAAAATTAAAACTTAAGAAATCTTACAGATGCCTTACATAGTCACTGTGGCATTGTCCAAGCAAAATGTACAAAATATCATTTGTGCATTTTACTTGAGACTCAGCGCAATGGAGCACACACTGCTCTAAGATGCCTCCGTTCCCAAGTCCTTGTTTGCAAAATAATGTATGTGTGCAGTCAGTAAAGAAATATGGCATACATGTGTATGAAACATCATTAGGCAAGACAGAATAAGCACAGAAAACACATTTTTTACAAATTTTATACTAAACATGTATAGTATAGCATGTATAAACATGTTAGGTGTTCAAGGCCAGGTTGGATGAGGCTTTCGGCAACCTGGTGTAGTGGAGGGTTTCCCTGCCCATGGCAGGGGGGTTGGAACTAGATGATCTTTGAGGTCCCTTCCAACCCTAACCATTCTATGATTCTAACATATAGTATACCACAACTTTTATCCTTCCCTCCGTTCATTCCTTACTCTCTCTTTTCTTTCCTCCCTTTCTTCCTTCCTCTCCTCCTTCCTTTCTCCCTCCCTCCCTCTCTCCCTCCTTATGAAAGTTAAAATCTCTTGCCAGAAGCTTGTCATTACAATATTTTTCCAGCTTTTCAAAAACAGTTAAAATGAGGATCTCAGAATGTGATGCTCTTTGATCTGTCTCTTGTTGGAGAGAAAATGTAGAGCCACTCAAAATTTTTAGTCCCTTTTGGAAAAATCTTCACCTGAAATTTTATATTTTCTTTACAATTTTGCTTCTAATTGGTGAATAAATTAAAAATTAACCCTGGTAAGCACTCCTAATTTTGAATTTACAGTTGTTCAGAAACAGCCTACCTAAATCACTTCATATGTCTTAGAAAAAATTTTACTGTAGGTTCAATTAAGTTTTTAACCCAGAGTCCTCCATATTAGAAATGGGCAAAACTGTCCTATGTAGAAACCCAGCTGCAACTCTAATGGCAGAATGGCTGACAGTGCACCGTGATGGGATGACGGATCTTCATCACAACTGCTGTAAACCCACCTACACCTGCTGAAGGGTTAAGTTTTATAGTGCTTACTGGAGCTACTGCAATTAATATAATTCGAGAAACTACTCCTGAAGGTATCATATAATAGCTATCTTACCATTCTGAAAGATTTGTATGTGCCTCTTTAGTCATGAACTGGAATTGTTCAAGTAAACTGGAAAGCAACCAATGCACAGTCAGGACTGAACCAAGCTGCCTCATTGGGTCTACCATGTGATAAAGGTCGCGCAGTAGAGTTTGAATCTTGGGTGCAGCGGAAGGGAAAAGCTGAAAAGAGAGACACTCATTAGAGACTACATGTTATAATATTTGTAAAATGCAAAGAAGTGAGAAATGATCAGAAGACGGTGTATATAGCATACGGATGGATTTATATTAGTGCTCTTTCTCACATGACTGTCTTGCCCAGCCTTGCAAATCAGGATTACTAGTACTGACATGGAAGTCTAACTCCTTTGCCTCTGATTCAACTTCCAGACCTATTCAACTCAATCCCTCTTCAGAAAGCCTTAACAGTTTCTAACCCTGATACTTATCTAGGAGGTCTAGAAGGAATCCTAATGCCATGCAGACCTTCTGAACAACAGATCCAGTTGCTGATCTTTTATTTCCCCAATATTCATCATTTCTCTCATTAACTGACATGCCTATTCACAGACACTGTTATTCCTCCATCTCTATTCTGCTCTAAAAATGAACTCACTTGAAGTGTGAAAAAGACAACATATTACATATTCCATCTGCTTTTTTTGCTACTTTTAAATCTATGTCTATTCTCTGGTCACGATCTCAGTGTTGTGCTGTCTCCAGTTCTTGCATTCACACCTGCTTTGCTTCATTATAATTCTATTTTCTTACCAACTCATTAGTCATTTACATAATTTCCCTCCTTTTCCTTTAATTCTATTTTCACACCTCTCTTTCTGCTTTAGCTGTCCTTTCCAATGAATCCTCAACTGAAATTCTCTGTTTTATTTCTTTATCTCTTTCAATTTAAATTCCGAAAATCCTCCAAAATAAAATCAGGGTAAGTTCTATCTGCCTGATTCCCTGTCCATTCAGCATAACACATCTGCCAGAGACAGTAAAGAATGATAATGAAGGAGAAATGTTAAGAGATTTACATAAAGTAAATAAAGTAAATAAATATGTATCCAATACAGGAAAACCTTGTTTGTTTTACCAGCTCAAATTGTCCAAGACTCTTCAGCTCCTTTAAGAATGTAGTCATTGAATTTATCTCTTCTAAAGACAAACATTGCTCGTCTTCTTTGTGGTAAGTTCCGTCCTATGAAGGAAAAGGCAGCATATTCTGGTGAAATCACATGGGAAGCAAAGCGCTTTCAGTAGACCCCAATCCCTTTGGAGAACAAGTTACAGCAGCTCTCAACTTGCCCTAACTTCTTCCAAAGTCACGTCAAGCCAGCTCCTTGGTAACTCTTCCCATTTCTCAGTCTAGAACACAGTAGACTGTGCATTAGCTTTATGTAGAAAAGAACCCATAGAAACTTCCATGGGAAGAAAGTGCATAAAGTACAGACAATGAAGTGCACAATTTGAAATGCGGTCTGGACTCCTACAGAAAACAGACTTAGGTAATTGTATCATGTGGGTGCATATGTCTGCGGTTTCCTACTTTATCCTGTCATAAATTTAGAACCCATGACCCTGTTTTAGTCACACCTGCCAGAGAGGCAAAAGTCACTAGGCTAATGTAGTCCCTGTAAGTCTTGCAAGCAGGAGGCTCCTCAGAAATGTCCCCTTACAAGTGCCCAGACTGAGAGAAATACTGCTAAAGGAGTTCCCAGTTTGTCAGAAACAGATTTCACAAGTGATGTAAACTTTATACAGACCCTATAAATGCAAAAAATTGCAATTGCATCTTGCATTCAGAGTAAGACACAAAGTTGTAGGAAACAAAATTTAATTCTGATGCTGAATCTACTTGTTTGAGTTAATCAGTTCTAGGTTTATGAAAACACAGGCCTGTATTTTAAATATATAAATGGTCTATAAATAGACTATTTGAAAAAAATGGCAGGGAAATTACTTTATCAAAGTTTTAAATATATCTTTAAAGTACTGTGCTTCAGGGAATGACATAATTTGAGAGTGGAATTTTTATTAAAGAAAATTCACTTGTTCAATATACCTACAGTTTTGTTCATGACTTCCCCGAAATTCAGTAGCAGATAGTTTTGAATAAATAAATCATTCATTCTATAAGTTGGCATCAACAATTTCAGAAAGGTATGTAATTTAGCATGAAATATTTTCAAATCATTAATAATAAGAAAAAGGTGGAATAAACTACCTTGCTCATAGTAGATCCATATATTTTTTGTAAAGCTTCTATAAAACTGGATGTTGAGGATTCATTAGATAAGAGAAATTTAAAAGTATCTTCAAAAAGAAGTTCTTTGAAAATTTGGTCCTGAACACTTCGTTCATCCTCATCTTGAAAGTCAAAGTTTTCATGCACCTGTTGGAAAACAGTATAAGAAATTATGATTTGAATATCAAGTCCAGTCTTCTTATAGCCACACACACCGAACTGCAACTATTTATAATAAGAAAGCCATAATAACAGTAATAGAACAGACAGGATTAGAATATAACAAATGCTGTACTAAATTTTCTGTCAGAACTACACACCACAATGTTTGCTGACCTCCAGCGGACAGAGTACAACATTGCAGTCTCATGTGAGCGCTTTTTTTGTTCGACTTGAAATTTGATAAAATAAATAAAATGTCAGGTTATATGTTAACACAACTTTTTCAGGTATTTAGGACTTATACATATGAAGTCATAAATTTTACAATACATAAACACAGTGAATAAACTCACGTTTACAAAATATGAATAAATTAATATTTTATATAAACAGAAACATAACTTCAAGCTGCATGGAGTGTGGGCATACTACATTTTCCAAGGGATACAATTCAAAGTCAAAAGTCATAGTAATTATCATCCATTATTTTTTAAAGTAATTTGTATTTTCATATGAAACTATTAAGCGCCACTGATTATGGATTATGGTTGATGGTTGAGACTACTATACAGGCAGGTAGACATTACGTTTTAGTTTTTTTAAGCAGCTCCTGGGAGATTTTTTTTTACAGCCCTGTATACAATTATGAAATTACTGTGATGTGTCACATTTCTTATACTAGCTAAACAAGTCTTGTCAGACTAACTAAGAATACTGTGTTCATGGATTTTTTTTTAAATTGTGCAAACTTTCTTTCGTACGTCCATTTTTTCTTCGTGTTTAAAGGATCTTTGTTTTGTGAAAGATGGAGAGATTGTCGTCACTAGAAACTTGAACAGATTTTAACTGCGGATGAATTTAAAAACTGTTACCCTGTGATTTCTCGGGATATATTTACTAGTTTTTTTCTTGCCTTTTGTGTATCATAAATACGAACAAAGGTTTTGTATGCCTAGGTATATACATATTTGTATGTATATACAGTAGTAATGAGAAGCCACTGGAAAGCAGTACAATTTTTCTTTCTGACCAGGCTGTTCTGAGGCAGGAGTGGTACAAAACTGGCACAGGGATTTTATGCCACAGGTCACATTTTGAGGGCATTGAGGACTACCCAGGAAGAAGGTAGCACAGTGGAGGTCAAAGCAGGTAATGAATTGAAGTACAATGCAGTTCATGGAGAGCTTTAACTTGTATTAAAAGTCAGCTGTGGTATTTTACCTTCCACCCTTCCTCTTTGTTCTGATGCAGTTAATACCTAACTCTACTTGCATGTAATGCTTCCTATGGATTTTGTTCAGCTGATATTCATTGGGGTAATAATCTTGTAATGTTAAAACTGAAAGGTTTGCATGCTTCAATGGTGTGGTGAACTCCATCACAGGAACTCTGTCCCCTAAAAACCGGTTTCTCCCACAGCAGCTCTCCACTGTTAGGCAAAATTCACGTTAATGTACTTGGATATTTCTCAGTGGTTTGAGGGTAACTGTCACAGAGCATTCTCTGCTGTATTCTTTTTGGTGTAAATTTTTTGGGTCAAGCAATAATTTGTATAATTTTCTCACCTCAAGAATTACTGGGTATATGGAGGTGCTGAATCCAACGTCAAAGGTTAGCATTTGAAAACATTGTCTGCATCTGAAATACAACATAACAGGAATCAGATTCAGTGAGGTTACGTACCGTTGTGAAATATATGTTACGACAGTATATACACAGATGTCCAGAGAACACACCCAAGAGTATACACACATCGTAGGTCAAGAGAAAGCGTACGATACAGACTAAATACAGTTTCTAAGAAGAGTCAGCAGCATTAAACACAGAGACAGACTGTGAGGTGAAGAAAACAATGCTACATTAAAGTGTATTTATATGGCTGACTTTTAAACCAGTGAGGCACGTGAACTACGCTGTAGGAGGAAGCACCTTTTGAGGAGAATGAGGTCCTGCAAAAGCTTTGAAGACATTTGGAGGATAATAGATGACAAAGCTCTCTGAGGTCATTGAAGTCAAAGAGTTGTGCTGCAGCTATGAGCATGTTTGAAGGCATGGGCCAGGAGCTCTAAGCAAGTCTTGAGCTACATAAACAAAAGATATCCATCCCTTTTGTAAAAAATATGTTAGAGTTTGGACCACTGTCAAAGTATTTTCACCCTTGTTACACTCCTCCTCTCCTCATTACCCTCTCCACTCACAATGTGAGCTTTGTTCCCAACTTGCATAAGTCAAATAATGAGTTTTATATTACTGTCACTAGAACACCTGGGTTCTCAAATAGCTTTATAAAACATATAAATGTAATAAATAGTAACTTATTTACTATTTACCATAAAAATGTCAGGGATATGACATAACATATATAGAAGAAATATTAATTTTAATTAATAAAAATATTACATAATAAATGTTGATTTATGTGTGAGAACTGTAACACTCAAATAGAAACGATTACAATGATTTAGCACCTGCAGAAAAGTGGCTGTTGCTGCCTAGGTGTATTTTGTAAGGTGCATTTCATAAAGTATTCTACAGTGTTTCTTGTTCAGATTGCCTGCCACAGCCAGCTCTGAACCATTAGGGCTACTCTAACTTTAAATATTTGATATATGACAGAGAGCTCACTGAAGAGAAATACAGCTATATACATTAGGACTAGCCCAATTGTGAGTGATTTCTGTTCATTTGTACCGCCTGAAACACTTCATCAGAACACAGTATCTGGTCCTAGGTATTCATCATAACCTTTTCGTGAACTAGACACACTGTGGATATCAAAGAGTTTTACTCCCTAAATGCATCACATCCTTACTTTATTCTATAAGAAAGTATGAAATAAAGACGATTTTGTTATTTTAGGAGTCATGTATCCTCTACAATTTTTGTTCTGTTCTAATGAGCTATCTCGACAATAGCATAGCAATGACCACTGCAAGTAACTTACTGATTGAAAGAATTTAGTCCTGAGGCAGATGATTCACTGAAGACCTCAGTTACAAGTAGAAGTTTACTTATAGCTTCCTTCATGTTGTTGAATGCTTGTTGGGGAGAACTGCTTTTGAAGAATATCTCAAAAAACCTCTGCAGCTGTGAAAGAGATTACAGATATTTTTTAGCATTTGCAGTAAATCAGTGCTTAAGATCATAAATTAAAAGGCTGGTAGAAGTAAAAATTGCCTTAGAATGTAAACTTCTGTTCTTATAGATTTGCTTAGTAAAGAGGCATGAAAAGCTCTCATGAAAAGGACTCTTTTTTTACAAGTAAGTATATCAGAAACAAACTCTGTATTAAGGGTTTTAAAAAATACTGCTCACAATCTAAGCTTACTTTGACAAAACCTTTTGCTGTCAACTGGTTCTAGGCAACAGAAACCACAAACATTTCTTCAGCAGTAGGTAATAGCACGCTCAAAGTAAAAGCCTTTTCTCTTGTTAACATACAGTGCCAAGGGCTATCCCACTTCACCTTGACTACAAATCCTTACCCCAGGTTAACGAACTTTAAGTGGAATATAGAACAGAGATGTGGAAAAAAAATGATCAGCCACCGCAGCCTGTGTTTTGACTGGGCTCTTGCACATCCTCAGGATTTTAGACTCATGAATCCTCCCAATGGCATGTTCTCTGGCCTACATAACACTGTCCTCTCAGGCTCTTTCATCACTCATGAGAATTGACCCATCTCATCACTTCAGACAGTGATTTGGCAAAACAGAACTGGAGCAACTCAGAGGCCCCGTGAAGAGTGGGACTCAGGCAGGTTTTGTTGCATCAGAGTCCTTCGTGCTAAGAAAGGGGCTGCCTTTGAACCACATTATTACAGTGCACAGAACAAAATTCAAGTCTGAACTGTGTGAAACTATTAGATGATTTAGTAGTACTGTATTAACAGATACATTTATATAGTATAAAAGTACTGTCTTCAGAGATAAAGCACAGAAAGTATACACAGACAGCCTTTTGTACTGGTATTCAGAAAAGAAAGAAATTCTGATTACTTTTAGGAATGTCTCTACCAAATTGACTTAGAAATACAATTACATATTTTCTATTATCACTTATCCTACATGACCCACTAGAGAACATGACTGAAGCACGCAGGCTTCTGTAGACAACCCCACTGGGGACTGATGTGGTTGGCATCTCTCTAGCTCCATTTGACTACAGTCATGATCAAGTATTCATTGTAGATGTGTTAACAAAGCGTGGCCTTTAGCAGAAGTCTATAAAAAGGTTTAATGTGATATTTTGAGTCTAAAGCATGATCACAGAATCACAGAATGCTTGAGTTTGGTAGGGACCTGTGGAGATCGTCTTGTCCAAACCCCTGCTCAAACAAGGCTACCTACCTACAGCCAGTTACACAGGACTATGTCCAGACAGCTTTTGAATGTCTCCAAGGATGGAGACTCCACAACCTTCCTGGGTAACCTGTGCCAGTGCTCCTGAGTCTTCTCTTCATCAGGCTAAACAGTACCAGCTCTCTCAGCCTTTCTTCGTATGTGACATGTTCCAGTCTCATAATCATTTTAGTGGCCCTTCGCTGGACTCTCTCCAGTAGCTCCACATTCCTCCTGTACTGGGGAGTCCAGGACTGGGCACAGCACTCCAGATGTGGCCTTGCCAGTGCTGAAGAGAGGGGAAGGATCATTTTCCTCAACCTGCTGGCAAAACTCCTCCTAATGCAACTCAGGGTACCATTTGGCTTCTTTGCCACAAGGGCACACTGCTGGTTTATGATCAACTTGGTCTCCATCAGGACCCTAGGTCCTTTTTTGCAAAGCCGCTTTCCAACAAGTCAGCCCCTAGCAGGCACTGGCACATGGGGCTTTTCCTCCTCAGGTGCAGGATTTTGCACTTCCCCTTGCTGAACTGCATGAGGTTCCCATCAGCCTATTTCTCCAGCTTGACAAGACCCCTCTGGATGGCAGCTTAACCCTCTGGTGTATCATCCCTTCCTCCCATTTTTGTGTCATTAGAGGGTACACACTGTCTCATCATCCAGACAATTAATGAAGATGTTGAACAGGAATGGACCCAGTAGAGACCCCTGGGGTACACCGTTAGTGACACACGATGTGTTATGATGCATTCACTGTGCTGACACCACATCTCCTCACAACATACTTCTGTGCACTTTAGTTCACAGAATCCTCTAGACAGTGTTGGAGCCTCCCCTTCTGAGTGTGAATACTGCCATGCAGGTCTGCACTGGCATGGATGAATGGCTTTCAGTTTCTTCAGGCAGCAAATTGTAATACACATTTTCCACTTTCCTTTAAAAAAATACTGTATCATTGCCTACAGCCAGCCGTGAGAAATACTTGAGCACGTAGCTAACGGAGATCCTCCTTTGTCTTTTGCTCCCTTCAATTCCAGTAACTCCATTCTGTTGTGCTGGTAAATAACTGGTGGGTAGGAAGCTGGTTTGCCTGTCTTCCTGTTCTTACCACCTTTGGTCTTATTCTAACAAGCGGTTCCCTTCCCAGGATTTACTGATTAAAAGAAATGTGTTCCATGTACAGATCTGGGCTGAAGGCTTGCAATGCCTGGAACTCTTCCTCCTGTTTCTGATAAAGCTATTTGAAATGTCAGTCGGAAAAAAATTACAACAGTATATATGACTAAAGTTAAAAACTAGACCTCTGACTGCCAGGAGATAGTAAAGGTTGCATATATAGCCTCGACTCTGCTCTTTGGATATTTGCATCATGTTGAAATCTTGAATTACGTCACACTGTATTTTTATGCTGTAGAGAGTTTTCCATGTGGACTGCAACTCCATGAGTCTCTAGAGCAAAAGAGCCTCAGAATCACTATTTAGAAAAAGATTATGCGAATCCTCATATCTTCATTTCATTGCCACAACAGGCTGAGAGGGAGTCTGTGCTTCCCAAAGTCTAAGATCACTAAAGTTGTTTCTGCCACAGAGTAGTACAAGGATTAAGAACAAGAACGTACAGGTTTTTCAAATCAGTTCTGATTTATCATAGAATCATAGAAGGGTTAGGGTTGGAATGGACCTTAAATATCATCTAGTTCAACTCCCCCTGCCACGGACAGGGACACCCTCCACTACACCAGGTTGCCCAAAGCCTCATCCAACCTGGACTTGAACGCTTCCAGGGATGAGGAATCCACAACTTCTCTGGGCAACCTGTTCCAGTGCCTCACCACCCTCAGAGTGAAGAATTTCTTCCTTATCTCTAATCTAAATCTACCCTCTTTCAGTTTAAAGCCATTACCCCTTTAGATAAATCTCTGAGTGAAATTGTCCTATTTCAGTTCCTTATTCAGGTCAAAACCAGTTAATTAAACTGTTCATGTGAAATAAAAAATTTAAAATGAAGACTCATATCACCAAGGCAGGACTACGTGGTGGTTCTTCAGCTGACTTAGACAACCAGTTCCAGCATCTCTGCCAGATCCTGTACATAACTCACATTCCTAAAAAAAAAACCTTTCCTCTAATTTCCTAAATCTGCAGTAGGTATTGAGAGGCTAAGCAAGAAGCTGTGTTATTTTACTGCACAGGGAACATAAGGAGTTGCAGAATTTTATAAGGAGAGATGGGGATTACCGGAAGGAAGGGCAAGAGGGACAGAAAAAGCTCCATTAGTTCACTTGCTCCTCACCATAAATAGATTTCTAAGCACCTCAACACAAAGGTTACACAATGAGTATATTTCTAGTTAAGAATTGATGAAAGACAGGTGATTTGCCCTATTTGCACTCCGAGCATGCTGTTGGCTTAGTAGCCAACTGTTTCCAACACAACAGGCATTAAAATAAAACTACCTTCTACAAGGAACTGCATTTTAGTTACATCCCTCCTTAGCCAGACTAGAAAAGAAACATTGCTCAACAGGTTTTCATCAGGGGATATCAGGTTTTAGGGCAATGTTTATTCTAAGCCAATGTCTGAAAATAAATATTTAGTCAGGCTGGTTCAGGACCAACAGAGACAAGAGACGAATACTTAAGGTTAAATTCCAATTCATGAAAAAAATCCCATTTAAACAAGTTCAGGTTTGGTTTGACTTCTACAGATTCTACAGGAGTCTCAGTAACTAATAGGAACAATATAAACTGTATGGATTAGGGGTGATAAAATGTGAAAACCTGCAGCAACCTCAGGTTCTTCTGAGTGTTCCCAACACAGATATATAAATATATATATATATGAGAATATATGTGTTTAACTGCAAAATATTTAAGTCATTGAGTTGAAGATTTCTTCAGAGATCACCAGTGACACTGGTTCTCTCACCTTTAAAGGAAACAGACTATCTGTCCAGCAGGATTCAATCTCAGTATTAAGTGTGATTAAAAGCAGCATTGAATAGTAAAAAGAGGATAGAATGGAAAAAACTGGTGGCAATCACAGGAATTCAGTCTGGGAGAAAGCTGACCTCTGGCTGGCAAATTTTTAAGCAGAGGAATAGGGATTAAATTTTAGTAGGCTGTAAAACTTAACGCAGACATGCACATATATTTTGTACAATGACACCATTGTACACAGAATTGCAAGACTTCTCAAGAGCTTGAAGATGATCATCTGCATGCTGGATGCATACAGTTGGAGATATGTTCCACATATTCATGCAGTGCTTTACAGAAGTGTTTAAATGCAGCCAAATTACACAGATCAAGCACACATTTTCCGTAAAGGCAGAATGAATTAGAAATATTCTTAAGATTAATCGTAACTCATTGATCTTTCACTCACTGATAACTACTTGTGCTTTAGCATAAGCCACTGGAAAAAAAAAGATTTGGTTCACTCAATATTAATTTTACAATGCTTTTTCTCTACCTGCTTTGACATCCACTTTTAAAAATCTGCAGTCATTAAAATAAGGTTTATGATTTCAGTGACACAGATCCCTTCGGTTCCTCAATCATACACTGAATCATCAGTTAAAGGTCTGGCACACTGTAAAAAAATGCAATTTAATTGACAAAAGAATTCCAATTTGCAAGCTTCATGCACAGAGTCATGGGGACTCAAAGGGAGTGGAAGAGTGTGGCACCCGCAGGGCTGGATGTTATGGTGACTGTAGTAACTCCCTTGAGAGAATTTTCCT